AGGCAGGGCACAGCATTGTTGTGTGAAACACATAGGGGGGGGTCGTACTTTTCCGCTGGGGAGGGGGTCGTATTTGGGGTAAGACAAATTTATTTTGATAGTTGATTTTTTCTTGTGGAAAAAGGGGGTCGTATTAATTCGTATTAATTTTTTGTGTTATATGCACCCTGTACACCCGCCGGATATACGTTGCATAGTTATTGTATACCCCTACTCATCGCTCGTCAGTTGGTAAAAGGGGGGTCGTACCCACACCGACATTTCGCCTATCCCTATGCTGTAACGTGAAGCTACGGACAGACATAGCTTTGTGCATTGGCATTGGTGACTACTTGAGAGAAACACAACGGTGGTGGAATTTAGGAGATTCCCTCTTTTCAGCGTTAGTCTCTTTTACGTAGAACTGCTAACCCAAGGATTTCCCGTTTTTGGTTGCTGTGAAAAATTCTGAGCCACTCAGGAAACCTTTTGCTGTGGCCACTGTAGCACTTTCAACTCGATTAGAGACCTAAAAACGCTTCTGAGACACATCTTTGTTAAAACTAAAAACGCTTCTGAGACACATCTTTGTTTTGTTAAAACTAATAGGGAATGTTTGATAAGTTCTTCTGTGCACACGAGGTTGGTAGGTGGAAACTTTATTATGGCCTGACGTTTCGACTAGATCGTCTTCATCAGAGGCCTAAACGTGGCTCATGGTTTGAAATTGCTCTCTCTACACCGCCAAAGATCTCCTCTTCCCTAACGTTTCTGACAGACTACTGAGAAAAACCCCGAAAATCCCGAATGAGGGAAAGACTCACCCAGTCCACCACAGCGAGAGCGGAAGTAGCCGCTCAGTTAGTTGTTAGTACAACGAGTGGGACTTACTGTGCCAATCTTGTATAGTGATTATAGTCAGAAATGGCACGTCCCACCGCTCACATCAGTAGCTCGCAGTGCGACACATATGGCAAGAGGTCATTTGTTATGGATAAGCACTCATTGCGGTTGTTCATTCTAGGATTTCTTGCAGAAATCCAGAATGCCTCTAGCGCTTTTCTGGCAGAAATCTCAGTCTCGCATGCCAGGATCGTGCACTTCACATCAAAGTCGTTTCCGCTGTGCTCCTCGATCAAATGCTTGCCGAGTGGTGTTCTTATATTACCACGCCTTTTGCCAGCAAGATGTTCTTTGACGCGTGTTGCTAACGGTCTTCCAGCTTTCTACCAAATCTTCTGGCATTTCCCACGCACGTTAGATTTTACCAAGCTCTATTTGAGCTACTTAACACCCATTTGCTACTCCGTCTATATCTGCGGCGACTGTCATGAGAACTGCGCCTTCTTGACTGACCCCTGTCGTCACCGTTGTGAGTTCCTCGCCATAAAACTCACCAGACTGAGTCCTAGCGAAACCTGCGCCCTGCAATCACAACTGCCATGCATTCCTATGACGCAACACTCCACCCACATAATCAATCTACGTGTTCGGTAAGAGGAGCTATGCCGTGAAGTAGGCTGTCGAGCGTATAATTAATTTATGTCAAGTTAAATGTAATGAATGCGAGAGTGCGTGGTGGGAGTACTGCGGTCCGCCTGCGTTCTTCGAAGGCCAAGCCTGTTGGGGGGGGTCCATGAGCTGGGAAGGGGTGGAGTTCTTGAATCTGAGCAGGGTACAGCATCGCTGGGAGAATCCCAACAGAAGGTCGTCTCTGGTCGATGGGACTCTCGGGCTGACAAGAACATTTCGAAAAGCGACGAGAATTTTTCCAATTGTTGGCTCTTCACCTTTTCGTGTGCTCTACGTATGCCTTCCACTCACCCATCCACCCCCGCTCGGCGCCAATCTCTTGAAGAAACTGAAAAATTTTCAGGCAAGGTTGGGAAAAGTGGTTGGAGAAGCGGGAAGGTGCCGATGTTAATCGTGGCAATCCTGATGGTCTTGTATTTGTCCTTTACGGAGGACTTCCTAGCTTGCATGTCCATTACGGTGGACGTCCTAGTTTGGCCCATTACGGTGGGCAACCTAGCTCTGATCGGGATACTTGAAAAGTCCATTGATCATTATTGTGCAGAATTTGAACAAAACCTCCTGAGTGAAGTTCTGCAACTCTTCTATCCTCTGGAGGCACCCTCCGCGTTAGCTG